CTATGATAAAAATTACAGATTTTAGAGTTTGAATAGATAAGAATTAAATTGAGACTTTAAAATAGTAATAATTTGAATAGAATTTTTCAGGCCATGAAAGTTACCATTCGAAAAAAGGTGCCATTTAAAAGAAGCTCACGGCTTCCTTCAGAAGGTATCCTTTGTCATGATAGTTAGACATGATCACAGAGAGTCTCTTTAAAAAATTCTATTTAAAACTTTACTATTACTTGTAAATTTGTGTGTTTCAAACACACAAATTTACAAGTAATACACACACACACACACATATGTATCTAAGGACATAATTTATATATCTAAGGACACAATTTTCTAATATACTTTAGGCACTTTAACTCTTAATATGTGCGTTTTAATTTTTCAGGAAAGAAAAACAAAGATTATTGAAAAAAATTATTCTACTATAGCATTTGCAATCCTTTTTTTGGTTACTTTATTACTACTAAATTACTCAAAAACTATCAAAAGCAGGCAACTAAGTAATAAAAAGATAACAACTACATCCAACACAATCAATAGCACTAACATACAGTTCAAAATAAAAGACAACTTGACTAACATTTCAGCAACACATTCAGCCATTTACATACTTTTGACTATTTTGTTGATGAAGTTGTTAACTCTATAAATATATGTGAAAAAATACTTTGCTCAAAAGTTTGCAGTATAATTACTGATATCTCAGCAAATGTGTCAAAAACTAGATGCAACATACAAAGCAAAAGCGAATCTTATGACTGAAACAAAACATGATGAAACACATAGGCTGATAATCTTGGAATGTTAATGGAAAAACTCTGTTACTGGAAATATCATACAAACCAGAAATTACTGGAAATTGTTGATTAATTATTTACTGCTGTTACTTCATCTGCAGGAGTTGAAAGAATGTTTTCATTATTTGTTTTGTACATTCAAACATTAGAAATTAACTAGAAATTAAAACAGATAAATTGCTCACAAAGAATTGACAAGTTGTAAATATGCTATAATTAATAGTTAGTCACTACGAAACTTACTGTCAACCTAAAATTTTTAATTTCAACATTGAAACAATTTCTAATACTATTTTACTTTAATTCTTTCTTTTTTGAATCAACTATGTATAACAAAAAAGTATATATTTAAAAAACAAAAAAAAAGTCAAAAATTCTTTTTGAAAATATCATAATTTTTTTATCAATCATGAAAGTCAGGCACTATTTATGTAACTAAATATTGCAAAAAACTTTTCTCTTTTTTAATAAGAACAGGTAGAAAAAAACACATGAGTGCATTGATGTAACAATGGGTTGTTTCAACAGATTAGAATTATATTCTCTAAACGAATAAGAATAAGTAAAAATTTTTCTAAAATAATAAAAATCAGTAAATTAAATAAAATTTTTAGATAATTTTATTTATAGATACTTATTAAATTTTTTATAATTATATTTATACTATTAATACTTGCAATATTTTTAGTATTGATTGTTTAACTAATTTTAAAAAAAGTACATAAATATATTAATGATTTCTTATAGACTTTTTTCTTGAAATTCTTGGAATCTTTAAGACATTTCTGAAACCACCTAGAATTTTGTGTAGCTAAACTTTCTGGAAACAACAAAGCATTATGAAAACTTAGGAACTTTTTAAAACTTTTTGTAATATTTAATAACTTTTTTTTTTAAGTTTGGAAGCAAATTGTATTGAGTATATATAAATTTATATAAAGTTTTTTTATTTTTTATTATGATTACTTGTTTGAAGAAACAAGTAATCATAATAAAAAAAAACTACTTCAAACAAACATAATAAAAATCAATCAATCATAATAAAAAAAAAGCACAAATAGATAGTGCTGTGATATTGGATCACAGGAACTTTGTCAGTGCCAAGTATCCTAGTCATATTATAAATACAATCACCTACAACAAGTACCTTAGTCATATTGTAAATACAAACAAATTCAACAAGTACCCTAGACATATTGTAAATACAATCATTACAATAGTTGTTTTTTTTTATTCACTTCTAGCCTTTTTAATGGTTCTCTTGTGCAGTGAAAAGATATAAAAATTAATTTTAAGAAAAAATAAACATTAAAAAACTTCAATAAATTAACAAAATATTTTTTATCTGTGACTTCTATGATTTTCTATGATTAACTCTATAAATAGTATAATACTAAATACTACATTGATGCAATATTGAAACTTCAACAAAATAAAATAAGACTGGGTCCTACTTGTTAAAGAAATTGATCATATATTTAGAATATTGTAGACTGTACACCTATCTGTAGTTGACAAGCTCTATTTTATTGTCTCCAATCAAGCTCTTGGTATCATGAAACTTTTGGTAACAATAAGCACTTAGTATCAAGAAGCTCTTGGTATCAAGGAGCACAAGGTAGTCATAATGCAGATGATTCAGGTGCAGCTGATCTTGGCAGAAATTAAAAACATTAGTTCCCATGACTTTTTTCAGATGATATCTTTTGCTGTCTGATAAATTGTCATGACCACAGAGACCACTTTTAATAGCTAAAAAAATTGAAATCAACTAATTATCTATTTATTAGTTCAGACATTAACTTTGAATACCAGTGAAAAGCCTAAGGAACTGTTGTTGACTTCTTCATTTTGATTGCTTTTTTTTTCAACCTCTTTAGATCAGATGTTAAGGGAACTAGTACAGACATTGCTCTTCAGTTACTAACCTGGTTTTAAGCAAGAGGTATAGCAACTTCTATGAAGTGATGATGATTGTCTTTATAGCTCTGTATGATTTTTTAACTGAAGATCTACAGACTTACATTCAACGTACTTGAAGAAAATTATTCATGTTGCAATTTTTTTGTCTTGGCATGCTTCCTTCTCCCATTTCAATCTCTTTTCCTCTTTAATCTCTCGTTTCTTTTTTACTTTTTATCTAACTTAAGATCTTCTTTGCTTGTCATCAATTGCATTGCATCCTGATGAAAAATATCAAACCTTTAAGCATGACCTGTAAAAAGATTTGATTTTCTACCACTTCAACACACTTTTAGGACTTGAACTTTTTGAGGGCAGCATACTCATTGTGCAACTTCCTTACTTTCTTGAGAATGAGCAACAATTAGGGTTTGGACAAAAACAGAATTTTTGAAAAACTGGTTTTTGAATTCTGAATTCACAATAAAACCGGTTTTCAAATTTTCAAAATAAAAATTGAATAACAAGAATATGTAAAAATAATACATAACTTATAAATTATATTTATTTCACTTATTGTAATTTAGGAAATAGGAATTTTAAAAAAACATAAAATGTCCACCGAACGGTGGCTAAGTCTTGTTCTAATTTTGGACACAAAATTGCCTGAAATTGATAATAGGTTTTCACTAGCTACTGAGCTCGGTTTTACAGTTTTAAGTACATCAAATAACAAATCTTTTATAATAATGTGTCTACAACAGAATTTTGAAATATTGTAGACAATAACTTTTTAGACAATTTAATAATGTAAATTTTTGCAGCTAAAGGAAGAATATTAGATTTTTTCTCTGGGCTGGAAATGTTTTTGGATTTTGCAAATACAGTAAAAGAGTTGCTAATTCTTAATTCAATACATAAATGTATTACATTTATAAATACATAATAAAAAATTACATATAAATACATTTTATAAATACATATAAATAAATATTAAATCCAAATTATTCAAAAAGAATGTCTTTTTTGAAAAGCCATTTTGGAAAAAGTTTCCTGAAACTTTGTGTTTACATTCATATATTTTTAGAGAAGTAACTGTTTCTATTAGGTAATTATTATGTAATATTTTGAAAAATAAAATCGTCATCTACCGCAAGGAAAAAATTAAAGCTGCATGTTAAAAATCAAAGAAAAGAGCTTATTAAATTAACTTAATAAAATGTTATTGTATATAAAATGTTATTGTAAACAGTATATTATAAAAATATTAAAAAATAGAAAACCGGTTTTTGTAATTTAAAAACCAGTTTTCAAATGTGTCAAATTTATTTGAAAAATCAGTTTTTTTAAACCGCCAAACCCTAGCAACAATTGATAATGAAGAGCTCAACATTTTCCTTTAGAATTCTGAATCTAGTTTCACATTTAGTCTTGTTTGAATCTCTGGGATTGATGACATGCTTACTCAAGACTCAATTTTTTTTTAACTTCTTTTTTAACCTTTTTTAACTCCAACTTTTAAAGGCAGGTTACATAGTTACAAGGCCTGCACATTTTAAGAATTTATATTTTTAAATTTATTGTCATATTTAATATTTTGTTCTATAAATTCTATATGTATTAGTTAATAATATATTTATATAAAAATTTAGATAAACACTGATATAAACACATCAGACTTGGCTAGGAATGGCCTGTGATTGAGCGCTATTGCTGATCACGCAAATGATTTTATTTTTTGACAACTTGACCACAATTGTTTATATGTTTCGATGATTTAAGCATTTCAGAAATAGATGTAGAAACGCTTAGCTAAACTAAACAAAAAAGTGAAAAAAAAAAACTAAAAAAAAGTTAAAAAAAAAAACTAATAAAAAAAAAATTCCTAATGTAAAAAGAAACAAAAAAAAAAACTTCTCATGAAAAGAAATTATATAAGCCTAAAATAAAAATACATATACTCGAAGCAAAACTTTTTGCTACATTTTTAATTATGTTTGAAATATATGTTATTAAAACTTATCTTTTTATACAATTTATTAAAATTACATTTATTAAATTGTATAAACATTTATTTTTTCAAAAAAATTGCAAAAAAAAAAAAATTGTTTAAAAAAATAACGTAGCCTTTTTAAAATAGTAATTTTTATTAATTTCATGCTGTAATTAGTAAGTCTAGTTTAAAAAAGATTTTCAACTTTTTTATTCGTAAAAAAAGGAAAAAATAAATAAAATATGGCTGCAATTTTAACAAAATAAACTGCCAACAAGAAATTTAATTTAATTTGAGCATTACAACTT